TTTAAATATTAAGTATTTCCAGCTTATTAAGTATTTCCATAGCATTCACTATAAGATTTACATTATTTAATATTATTTATAATAAAAATAAATGTTTATGACTTATGCTACCTAAGATCACAATTATTTACAAAATATTAAAAGTAAGCCTCATAAACATTTATAAATATTTTGTAAATATTTTATAAATATTATGTGTTGTTTGGGATATTGCGTTATGTGGAAAGTAAGTGCTTTTGTACTTGTAAATTAAAAAAGAATATAAAATTTTGACAAAACATAACATGGCAGGATGATTGTCAAATAAGGATTATGATATTCTTACGATATTGTATTTGTCAATTTCATATTCGTTTTTTATTTAATATAATCCGATTGTATTATATATGGCGGAAAAACTTTAATGAAAAACTACATAACTACATAAATTGAGACAAGATTTTAGAAATTATTAGTTTTTTTTATAAATATTCGTAGTGGGACGAAAAGCCATGTTGTTTGTTTGAAAAATCCAAAAATTATCCATCCTCAAACAACGTCATTACTCTCTACGACCCATTACGAATATCTACGAAAAACTAAGAATTTCTAAGACAAACAAATCTCTCAGTGTATTTTTCTCATACAATATTTTTTTATTTTCATAAATTTTTTATAAACATATATATTTTTCTTATCAAATATTGATGATCAAATATTGATTGCTAATAAAATGGGTATTTTGTACTCTTAGCAATGAAAACTTCATTAAAATCAGCGTGTATATATTAGACAATATTTTTTGTAACGTGCGAATGTGTTGAAAATAATATATTTATACACATTTATAAATCGTAAAATAAAATTTGCAATAGCAGCAACATTTTCTCTGCTTAATAAGAAGTAAAAAAGAAATAAAAAATTATCAATCTTTTATTGCACCGATGTCTCCAATTCCTTTACGCGTATAACATAGGATAATAATATACTGATACAATGGCAATTGTCCGTCATTATATCAAGATTTATGCGTTTTATAATGCGCATTCATTCATAGATGTTAATTACAAACTTAAATACAGACATGCGTTGCTAATATGCGCTAACATGTATATTCTACATGTATATTCTACAATTTCGATATTGTAAGGAGTTCAACAAAATATTCTTTTCTTTTTCCTTTTTTTGTATATATACATAATACGTATGTATGATATGTACATATATGTATACGAATATATCATATATGTACATTGATAAAATAATATGTCTTGTATTTATTTTTCTTTATACATTAGATACACATACATTAAAGCTAAATCAGTATGTGTATATGTATATATTTCTAACAAATGTACAAGAATATTTTGCTCCTCTTTTTTGCCGTGAATAATTAATAAACATGTGGGAGGAATCAACGTTTCCAAATCTTCAAGGATCATAAACAATATTTTGCAAAGATCGGATTGAAAATCTCAAGTCCCAGTTATATGCAAAGAATCTTTTTTATGAAAATAAATAAAATAGATTATAAGAAAAATTCAATACCTTGTGTAAAGATGGAATCACACGATATTTAATTTCTTGAATGATAAGCATGCATGTTGTTATCCTTATTTTGATGCATACAGTCTGATGTTTGACAAATAATTATGAGATTAACAATTATTTCTTTTGATTGGTGCATACAAGGAAATAAGCTACGAATCAATAATAAAAATCATGTATATGCATCAAATGCTCAATGCATGAACGAATTCTAGCATATATCAGAGCAGGCATGATTGTATGTATGTTATCATTCAAGAAATTGAGCATCTGTGATTCCATCTTAATATTCATATTTTTGTGTGGCATGTATTAGTAAATAGCAAAATAATTGTTACGTTCTGATTTTTATCTAAAATAAATAAAACTTATATCTTGAAACCAATATTATAATCACCGTCGATTATAGTATTGGTTAAAAAATATATATAGTAATTATAATATAATATACTATAATATACTATAATATACTATAATATAGTATAAAGAGAAGTAGGAGAAGATAGTCATTATGAATTATGATTGTAATATTGTACATGTCAAACATTCCATACATTACAATTTGTGCTATTAAATTTTCTTTAAGTTTTGAAAAAAAATATTGATTATTATTTTCCCAAAATAATTTAAATATATTTTTTGCTCTTTAGAAGATATACTATTTAATTATATCATTCGATATTAACAAACTGGACAGCAAATCTCACCCGATTGATTAAATAACATTTACTTACATAGCAAAATACGAAAGAAATACGATTTGAAATAGTCTTCTAACAAATAGAATAAAATCCTTAAATTTATTGATACCAGCAATTATAAATAAGTTTTTCTTTTTTGACACTCAATGCACTCGTGTTTTGATGCTCATTCTTTTTAAAAAGTGTACATCTTCTGCAATATATTTGTAATATGCAATATACTTTAGATTGTATTATTATATTATATATCAATTCTTGCACCGTATAATTAAAAATAGTAAAACAAATAATTCACATTCTTGTGCAAAATAATTGCAACATAATTTAGGATTTATAATTTATGTTGTTCTTTTATCAAATTTTTCTACCGTATACATA